TCTGTATCAATCCATTCATTAATGGTAGAAGATCTACATATATAGTATAAAATTTAATATGAAACTAGAGTGACGACAAGTGGCAATGACCACCACCATCCTTAAAAACACTTACCCTTCCCTTTCATCACGATTGTTGGCTTTTCTTCTTTTATTAGTATTAGATTTTGACTTTTTTTTTGAGAGAGAAAAAAAATAAAAGAAGTTTATGATTTGATCGACGCGTACACTAATTATCTTATTGGTTTTTTTTTTTGGTAGGAAAAACAAATTTATTTTTTGACAGAGTCCATGGTGACAAAACGTGAGTGTTGTTGTTTGGTTTGGTTTGGGGTCTCCTAAAGAAGAAGTGTTAATAACTAACCAGATATAATGTGGTGTATTTTTATTTTAGTTTATAAACATTTTAATATTTTAATTGGAAATCAAAACGCGGAGCAGATCTTGCTGGGTAATTACATGATTTTCATTGATAATATTTTGCTTTTCGTAATCAATAATCAATATTATTATAAATAATATTATAATCACAAGATATCAAGGCAGCACACTGTTACAGAAGAAACATTTCAAATATGCGATGCTTGATTATCGGAAATTAGCAGGCGTTGAAGCACGCACGCTGCCTTGAGCACTTTACAGTCATTCTCACGTATTCCTCATGTACACAAGGCTAATCTGACCACGGTGCTCCCGATGATATGATATGCTACAGAATTCCAGGGGGAAGGCCCAAGGCCCTGGAGCTGCATCAAGACTGCACCAATCGTCAATGACGCTTTCACTAATCTTCCCTCACCAGTGTACACAAGGCTAATCTGACCACGGTGCTCCCGATGATATGATATGCTACAGAATTCCAGGGGGAAGGCCCAAGGCCCTGGAGCTGCATCAAGACTGCACCAATCGTCAATGACGCTTTCACTAATCTTCCCTCACCAGAGATGGCTGCTGGCATGCTAGACGAAAAGTTGCCTGCAACTATCCCACCTCTGGGGTAAGGATGGCTCTGTGACAAGCTATCACAACTCTGGAGGAATATTAAGAGAATCTGAAACTCGTTCCAAGCACAGGGGGTCGCAATTCAGAGCAGGGTTGGTGGCCCTGAAATTGCATTTGGGCTCTGATGTTAAGAGGGAAGTTGTAAAATAGTGTTTTGTATAATCATTTTCCTAAATGCTCTGTTTCTCAGATACTAACCAATTTATAATTTGGGTAGAGGACTGGATGGGGTTTTGCCCAATCAGTCTTCTGTCCTATAGGTTAAATTATTGCATGATTATATACATCTTTTGTCAGCAATATGGCCAACAAGAAAACAGTCATAAAAATGGTTCGGATTTTAGTATGTTTTGTATAAATTAATCATTTTCTGTTTCTCTTATTTGTCAACTGAATTTGTTGTTTTTTTAAATGGGAACTTTTTCCCATATAACCTCCCACCCTAGGTTAAAGGATTGTAGCTCAATGAGAGCACGTATCTTACAAGTATAAAGGTGGCAGTTTGATTCTGCCCACTTTTATGTATTGTGTCAGTCACCATGATCACTGGAATCAAGGAGAAAGCTGTAAAATAAAATGGTTCAGATTTTGTTTGGTATGTTATATATAAATTAATCATTTTCCCAAATTTTCTGTCTCTTTAATTTTTATTTGACCAACTGAATTTGTTTTTTAAATGGGGTAGGTTATTGGTGAGCAGGTGTGCCACCAACAAGACAGCAACCCAGGACTCAAAACTCTGAATTCAAGGAAAATCCAAAACAGCAACACTCCTACATTGGAGAATTTTGAACCAGTTGCAGACACCAACTTTATTCTAGAGGGGTATAACACAAAGCAATCATCACACAAATGTCAATGATCAATGCTCATATGGCAACAACAAGTCTGATCTGAGAGGAAGATAAGGGAATGTTTTGTCTAAAGCCTTCCGACATGTGGGTGGCCTTCACTTGTGGAGAAATTTCACAATTATGAGGGTGTGTGAAAGCACTAACTTGCATGTTTGTGACAGGAAAATTTTAATTAAATCTGACACCTGCAATCAACATCAGATTTATTATTCATAAGGAACCATAATTGATAATCAGGAAAAATAATTTATTTTGTGAACCCCAGAGATCTGGGTAGACACACATTATTAAAAGTTTCATTCATGCATGGCCCTGGTATTATTACTACCTGGGTGATGCAATTGTTTGTTATGTCAATGATGACATCAAATGTATTGAAATAATCAATAAACATTCATGTTCAAGGAAAGGATTAAGTAACAACAAAAAGTTAATTTGCAATTTGCCAGAAATGGAAAGAAATTACATAATGCAGATCAGGGCAAAATTTTTTGATTTTATAATAAAATAATTTTTATCATGTACCTTATTATCAAGTATCACACTCGTGCATAATAAAAAACATTAGTATAATCTATAAATATTTTTTTTGTTAAAAAACTATATGCTAATTTTTTACCAGTAAAGTATGAATTCAAAGATTATGGGTAAAAAAAATGCAATATTCGAAGCATTCAACTAAAAAAGAAATAGAAAATTCACTTGGAAAAATGTAAGTAAGAGATGCAATATGACTTATAGAAACAAGATTCACAATTAAGTTTGGTCGTTTTGGCATTTGAATGAAAATAAGGAGAAGATT